AGCCTCAGCCTCTTCCTCCTCTTAAAAAAAAAATAAAAATACAGTGAATATTTATGGGCACATTTCAGTATAAAACATAAAGAGCAGTAAAAACGAAAGAGTACGTTCTGTGACCATATCCAACAGTCTCTGCAAAGATAATTAACAGCTCTAGGACAGCTAATTTACATGTTAATGAAAGTGTTGGCAGGAAAGCCAATTAAAATGGATTTATCCAAGTCAAATAAAATCTGTTCTATTACTCTCCTTGAGTAAGAGAAGTATGTAGCCTTTAGCTCTATATCTGTGTCTGTGGCAAGCTGCCCACTAAAGCATGAATCCCTGCAGCTAGCTGGTTTATACCATCAGGGACAGCACGTACTGTTCAATCGCAGCAAATCAAGGGGAAGGGACAGACAGTCCAGCTCAGAAGGTTACAGCAAAGAATGAGGGAGCTCCTGCCTCCATGTATTATTGTCCACACTGGTGCCCAGCACCCCAGCCAAGTGTTTTTTCAGAAGCAGGTGCTTGTGACCTGGGTTCTACTTTTAACGCCCAGGAGAAGCTAAGCAGGGCCCGACTTGCTCTGCGTCTGGGAAACCACTACAGCCAACTTGGGCTGCAGGAGGCGGCGATTCTTTCCTTCTCACTCAGGATTAAGCCAGGCCCCACCACAATGTGAAAAGAGGCTGAGTAACCTGAACCATCATTAGCTGGTGTCCACAACTGGGGAACCCACAGCGCAGCTCTGTCCTCAGCTCTCCTTCCCCTTCTCACTGGGCCATTATCAATGGAAACCAATGTTCTCAGTGATAGCTGCCAGTCTTGACAGCCATACAACGGGTGTACAGAAAACATTTTTCATGTTGGGAACCCAGCACTTGGAAATCTTAAAATTGTTGACACATGCTGCGAAGCCAGGTATGAATGATGTATCAGATGCAAGTATACAAGCATCTGGGTGCTTATCTAATGGGAGAGACTTTGGCAAGAGACTAAAACCGTGTGAGCTTGCTCAGGACCCTGTAGTACAGCAACTTTAAGTTGCTACAGGTGTCCTGGTTGTTCAACTGCATTCGTGTTTGGGGTGGGTAAGTGGTTCTCCTCGGTACAGTAACTGCCCAATTTAGCTTTTTAAGGTGGGTGATCACTGAAACAAACAAAACGAAAGAGAGCTAAAACCAAAATGCTGTTTACAATTTCCACTCTGACAAAATAACATTTTTGCTTTTTCTTTTTTGTCCAGAACTGGCATTTTCACCAGATGGAAAATTCTTCCCTTCTAGCGAGCTGCTCTGCCTGGCACCATGGAGCACAAATCACAGTGGAAGCCAGTTTGCACTAATTTAATCACAGTAATTAAAAACTTGATGACTGTTGCTACTAGAAATACCAATACAGTCATACAACAAACGTGCTGGACAACAAGTGCGTGAGGACCGACAAATTCCTATTGGCCCTCCCTTCCTGTCTTTCAGGTTAGGATGCCACAATGCAGACAAAACACCATCTTCTCAGACAGCTCGCACATACCTGCTGGCCACATCTGCAGCCGAGTTCCCAGCTAGATGGGCTCAGGGCCATAGTTTGAGACGTAGGAATTCACGTAAAGGCGCTATTCTGAATTCATGTGACACCAGGGAAGCACGAAAGCGTATGTTTCTAATGGGAAGCAGATGTGAACGCTGTGCGACAGACCCTCTGGCCCTCAAACCAATGTCTGCACATGGTTTAGGAGGCACTTTTGCAAGATCTAAAAGCACAACTGCAAAACTGCTCAGTTTGGCAAAACGTTGATGACTGGCTGGGCCGCCCAGTATTATGCCTCTTACAGAAGATGAAGGGTAAACATTACATTCTTCCAGCATGAGACAATCACTAAAAACAATGCAGGTCTTTAACAAACGTGAACATGATCCAGGGTATTCATTTGGCAGGTCATTCACTTTTAATACATTTTTGTGGCAGATCTAGTACATCTTTAAAAGCATGTTTCATTACTATATTAAAAAAACAACCAACCAAAACCCAATGCCAACAAAACTCTCCCTCAAAATATTACAAGTTACACATATATACATATAGTTACAAAAAGGAGAAAGTTGCCTCAGGAGTTCCAGTTCCAGTACCAAAACATAGATGCATTTACTGAATTAAATTAATGTCATTGATCTGAATCCCTGTAAGCCAAAGAAGTCTATTAAAATCAATACAGAATTTGTCAGGCTACATGTTCGGGTATTAGAAGTCTTGTCTATTCACAATGAATTCCACGTACCTTCTACTTTGTGATTACAAAATGTTCTAATGTATTTATGCTCTGAAGTTTAAACTAGAGTGTAAAAAGGATAAACCTCTTTAGAAGTTACGACAGCTCTGTTACATTTTCTATCTGAAATATTGCCATGCAGCGTTCTTACCTACATCTCCATTAGGGGGGAAAATGCTCTTTTTGCCAGTGCAGTGCTATACATTTTCTGTACTGCTCTTGTGAATTTTACTACACAGCTCTAGCAGGTCAAGGTTCAGCTTCCAGAAGTGTATTTTCAGATGTAGTGTCCTCCTGGGCTGGAGTGCTCTCAAGTGGGAACAGCTGAGGTGACCTCAGGACCTGGCAGCACTGCAGTGGCCACTGGCACCTGCACCAAGCCCGTGCAGAACTGCGAGGTGCATCCCCCCTTTGGGAGTTTTCACAGCCATGTTAAGGCCAGTGATGTTAGATGCACCTCACATACATGATGCTAAGAGACGTCTTAAGCCCATCATCAGTCTGGGCCTTATTTAACAGAAGGCTGGCTAGGGCAGTGCAGCCTAATCATAGCCTGTGTTCGTTTCCAGAGAGGGTTGGGGTGGAAAAAAGGAAGGAAAGAGACCACAATTAGACTACGCTGCTTTTAACTACGCTGCAAACTATCTAAGACTTTAAAAAAGTGACTTGAGTGCTGCCAGTTTTTTTTTCCCCAAAATACTTATTTCTCATCAGTACTGTTACAGTATTTTTAACATAAACTCAAATAAGACAACATCGCTGTTTATATCAAATAAATACACTTGGGCCTCAAGACACGAAAATGTCTGGGATCTTCTGCATTTCCAGTGAGACCTTATGATCACCTGCATTTTTTTCTGCTTTACTTTTTTGCTACCTGAGCTTGAAGCTCTAAGCATCACCTTTCTTGTCAGAGCCTACATTTGCCTTACTCCACTTGAGCACTTTCAATGCTCTTCTTTAAATCAGCTAAAGAAAAAGTTTCTAAATGCGTAACACACGTGTGCAGGACAACCTACCAACCTCTTTCTCACACAGAAAACAGAGGCTGTATTTGCTGACAAATCTGGGTGGTCTGTTAAACGAAAAAGCAAATTACAAAAGCTCCTGCAATTGGGCCACTAGACCAAAATACTACCTTCATTCATTTGGATAAACTTCCCCAGGCTCCAGTGAGACCACTTAACGTGGCCAGTAAGTCAAAGCTTGAGGCAGCCACGTGCTGCTTCTCCCTTTAGACACAATAAATAACCACCTCAGTTAATGGTTTCTCATGCTCTCTGAAAGACTTTAGTATATTTACCTTAATGAGGCCACCTACCTCCAGAGAAAGCTTTTTTTGGCTAAAAGAAGATATCCTGGGCACCCTCCATAGTCTAGATGTGTTGCTCCAGAGGTGTGTCTGTACAGTAAGTGAAACTTCTGTTCCAGTGAATTCCATCCCCTCCCAGCTAAATTGCTGGAGAATTTACACACATTTCGTTGACAGATCATGGTCACTCTATAAGCCAACACTCATTTTCTTTTTGCCAAGTTTATAGGACTTCAGTCCATTTTGAAAATATTTCAGAAATAAGTTGGAGAGGCGTCTAAGTTGGAGATGTACTGAAAATTATTTTAGCAGGCGATACTATTGACATAGCATCTTTGTAGTTCTGCAGATCCCCTAACAAATCTTAGAAGAACTTACTGTGTTACACCAAATGGAGAAAATAAGCAGCCAAGGATGGCAAAAACTCAGTCTCCAAGGTCCTGGGCTAAAACATCCTGAATGAACTTCAGTGTACGTTGGTACAGGAAAGCATCCTTCTTCTTTGGCTTACAAATATTTAGATGATTAACATCCACTGGAATAAGGTCTCCAATTCCTAACTCTGGAAGAGGGGGAAAAAAAAAAAGAATAAAAAACCCACCAGTTTGTAAGATCACCTAGAACAAAAAGCACATCTCACATTAGCAGTTTCTCTCTCAAAAGCAAGTTCTCCTGTCTTCAGTTCAACTTTTTGGACTTTGTTATTTTTTAATGTGCTAAAAGCATCAGTACACGGTGTTACAGTCAGATAGAGCCATACATTGCTACAAAACCCACACTAGAAATCCGTTAGCCCAGAGTTCTGCTGTCTTTATTGGGAACACACAAATCTACACTTCGCCACTCAAACAACTCTAAAGACTCAAAACTTCATTTGCCAGCACCTGACTGACAGCAAAGTCCTGACTGAAGTTTAAGCATCGACATGAAGAGGCACAGGGTTTAATCCAGGGTAGCTAGATTCTTACCACCACTAATTGTCCGTATTCCTTATAGAAATACTTTGATGTGGAGATTAAAAATAGGACCAGAATGAACCTGAAATATGCCACAAATCACACATTTCCAGGGAAATGGAAAATTTACATTGCTTAGTTGTAGCATACAAGTACTCCCTTTTCAGCTACTGATTCAGGGCATGGGGCACACTACAGCAATTATTCTTTCCCAACAGCCATCACTACCAGTGAACTTTCCAGCTGAGATGCTGTGACTGCCACATTCCTGTTTATTATCTATTCATTCAATCTCCTGAGAAATCCTCCTTTTTGTTTGCAACTCTTTGTCTTCAACCATGTAAATTACAGTAGAGCAGGATAAAGGTTTGCTTTCGTGTGCCCAAGCAGGCACGTGAGAAACAGCAAGTGTACAGCTGTCAGCCTGGGGTTTGAACAAAATGAGTGGTGTGCCACTGCACCCCCAGGTACCCTCTAAAGGCTTCCGAGAGCTCACGTCCTGCTTTGTGCCATCTCTAGAAGGGGACAAATACACTATAACATTTTAAGTGCACATTGCTTATTTGTGCACTCTGTTATCCATCCTTCTTTTTCATTTTCTTTTGTTAAATAAAAAAAAAAAAAATAATGCCCAGTTTTTCAGTGCTCACCAATAAAATTACATTAGCAATATTTTTGCAAACAATTGCTTCTTGAGAGGACATACTGAAAAAATACTGCTAAATATCAACTCAGGAAAACAGAGATGTGTAGTCTGCCTTTTTCAGAGCAACTAACCTTGCATTTAACCTAATGGATTTAGCTGGTGGAAAGCCTGATCTAAAGCCAAAAGAAAAAGCAGTGGTTTCTCTTCAAGGCCTTAGAGGTACCTTGGGCAGTGCAGAAGAAGGTTTTGCTCAGGGAAAACCTGCAAATATCAGACTTAAAACAATTCTCTAAGTTGAACACTCATAAACAAAGCAAGACAAAGAACTGGCTGGTTTTTCCTTCTCCCAAAGGCAAAAAGATGGAGGGAACTCTTCAGGAGGCAAACTCTATTGCTTGAGTACCTGAGATATAGAAGATAAAGATTTCTTAACACTGAAAAACAGCTTTGTGACTTTTTCCTTCCATTAGCAGTTTACTAATTTTCTTTCTTATTTTTTAAAGGAGGAAATAGCTGGAATTTGCAGGAGCTTCTGAAACACTATTCAGCCTACCTATACAAGGACAAACAACAGTTACCCATAATTAAAAAGGAAAGGACTGCAACAATGTAACACTAGACCAGGGCCTACTCTGCTTTTTTTCAATAAGCAAGTGTTACATTTAGAAAAATCAAACCAAACAATTGCTATTCTAAGATATAAATGTAGCTGCCTCTGATCTTGACAGGGAGACTGTAGTTTAAACTGAGCCAAAAGTTTAAACAAAAAGCCCACAACATAACATTTTTCTGGGTCTTTCCACCATAGCATTTATAATCCCTTCCTCATTATCAATGCTTACATGAATATATAAAAATTAAATAAATTAAATGGCTATTTGACTTACTTGCTGACTCCAGAGGCACAACATGCAGTCTGATCATGCTGCCTATGTGTGTTGGTAAGGTTTCTGCAAAACTCAGCACTGAAAATTTCTTATCTTTGGCAAAAGACAGGAAATCATCGTTCAGCTCTTTCAGGGCAGGTGAATCTGATAAAGAGCAACATAATTTTTGCAGCGTTACTTTGAACATAAGATCATAGCATTTGCCTGGCAAGACTGCATTCCTAAAGAGAAGTTTTGGAGAAACTAATACTCCAGTAAAAGGAGCAGCATTTTGTTAGCAATCCCTTTTTCCAGCTATCACATGCAGCAATTGTTTATTTCATGCTATTCCAATAGCATGGAATTTGTTTAGAAGATAAGAGCCTAAAGTCCAGCACGTGTTGAATTACTACATTGCTAAATGGCCCAAACTACCCTTCTATAAACTGGTTCTAACTAACTCCCTTCTTTCCCCTCGTCTCTGCAATCAAATGAAACAGTTACTCAGAATTACTTAGGGTAATTCAAGACACAACCCAAAACATAAACAGGGGGTTTGTTGGTTTTATCCATCTTTTTCTGACTGCATGATAAAAAAAAGCATCATGAACAGATTAGCACAGATCCCCACTGTTAGAGGGCAGCAAAGCGAGCGTACCCTTGCTGAGTTCTTTAACCTCCACAGATGGAAAGAGAAGATATCTGGCATTTATAGAATATTCAGCCAACTGGGAACCGTGGTGAGGTACGCTATAAAATATGATTCCTCTGGTGTTGTTTACAATTTTATCCATTTCTGGATTCTTGGAAGCATCCACCAACATCTTTTTGACTAGAAGACCTGGCAACAGAGACTGAATTAATGCAGGGATTTAAACCACTGTGAAAATAACGATCATGCTATATTATCCATGAAACAACTAACCATATTCTTGCCTCAGTTGATTAGTTTGTCAAATATGTAAGAGTAAGTTGAAAAAAAACAAACCAAGCGCACAGAGGCATTAAATTAAAATGTCAATGAATGATGCAAATCCAATTTGGGTTTGCTTTAAGTGTTGCTAATGACATTTACTATATGCCTGATCATAGAGAAAATTTTGCCTCTAGGTTTCCATTTACATGAATTTCAACTCATTGATTCTGTGTTTTTAAATCCACACAGTAAAAACAAACAGCAATAAAAATCCTTTCAAAATTAATATGCTATTGAATATAATGCATTAAGAAAACAGAAATCTATCTTCCATTTTTAGATCTTTGCAAAGTTTTCAGATAAAACTATTCTGAATAATTGCATTTCAGATTGAATTTGGTTAACAGCATATTCTGAACCATAACAGCAAATGAATACTTTTATCGAACAGGCAGCGTGCTTACCACCCATGCTATGGGATACCCACACCAGAGGCCTGTCTCCAATCCCAGCAGCTCTGAGCTTGTCAAGAAGCTCATTGCTCCTGTAAGCGATAGACTTCCTGCAAATTGAAAACAAGCGCAAGCATGATGAAGCCTGCGAGGTTAAAAGGCAACGGTAAAACAGAATGAATTTTCAGTGCTGCACATTTATGAAAGTGAATCAGGTACATAAAACATTAATTAATTAATTAATGTTGCTACACTGAAAAATGCCAAAAACTTTTGTAAGATTGGCTTCACGAGGACAACAGGAATGGAGCTAAATTGAGTTTCCGGCTAGAAAGTTTTATTTTAATTCCACTCACTGCTCATTTCCTCTAGCTTTAGTTTGACAAATCTCTTTATGGAGTTTTAGATAGTTTCATTTACACATTGTAATGAAATTATGTTTTCATTTTATGAAAGTATCATCAGTGCATAATGATCTTTTTTCCCTGAAACAAGAATATACCTAATGTCTAACAAAAATGTAGTTTGCTAAACAATGCTCAAAATGTGGAGCAATGTATAGGAATTTAATAACTAAGTGCATGATCCAGCAATACATTAAAGAAATCACAGATAATGTCTGTTATACTTTCCAGGCAAAAATTTCCAAATGCTTTGTACTGGAATAATATAAAAGAACAATAATCTCCACTTTATAAATTAAGAGACTGAGCTCTGGAAAGGATAAGCTACACATTAGAGGCTGAAAATGAATCCATGGTACAATCAAAACAATACCAATGCCAATTCCCAACCCAAGCCTGAAAGGTAACAGTGTTACTCCTTCTAGCTTAACAAGAATCAAACAGAGAAGACCCTTGGACAATAGAAACATCAGGATAATGGGGCAACCACTGTGCAAACTAATTCACTTCATCTCTGTTGGTTCTCAGCATTCTCACTAGAAATTGCTTTTGTAACACATATGAAAAGGAGACTCAAATGTGTCTTTTCAGTTGAACAATAGGCTTTAGGATAGCTGAGAGACATAAAAATTCACCTTTGAAACAGCAAATGAGCCTGTACACTTAGAGCAATCATAGGTTGTGATTCTACTGCTACATCTTTGTTCCTGCTAATTAAGAATATCTTCAATATCTTTCATTTTTTATTAACCATATCAAATTATAAAATAAATACTATGCTTGAGTGGCCATAAATACCAGGTAATGAAATTTTCCATTTTGTAATGAAAAAGATATTATCTTAAAATAAATAAATAAATAAATATTTCTTTTTCAAATTTTCTTCCATTATATTTACTGCAGATGGACATAGGAAAAAAGTTCTTAGAACCATGGAATCATTTGGGTTGGAAAAGACCCTTAAGATCGAGTGCAGCTGTTTGCCTAATACTGTCAAGTCCACCACTAAACCATGTCCCTAAGCACCACATCTACCCATCTTTTAAATTCCTCCAGGGACGGTGACTGCACCACTTCCCTGACAGCCTGTTCCAATGCTTGACAAATCTTTCAGTGAAGAATTTTTTCCTAATATCCAATCAAAACCTCCCCTGGCACAACTTGAGGTCATTTCCTCTTGCCATACTGCTTGTTACTTGAGAGAAGAGACCAAGACCCACATCACTACACCCTCCTTTCAGGTAGTTGTAGAGAGCAATAAGGTCTCCCCTCAGCCTCCTTTTCTCCAGACTAAATAGTGCCAGTTCCCTCAGCTGCTCCTCTTAAGTCTTGTTCTCCAGACTCTTCACTAGGTGATCCCAAGGATCAGTTTTACAGGTCTCCCTCCTGCCCCTGACTCCAAGTTACAGACACTACATTCCTTACCTGTGAGCCTCAACAGGACATTTTGCTTTCCAGTCACTCAAATGGGTGTCATACTCCACAGATATGATTCTAAGGGCAGGACAGTCTGAAGCCAGCCATGTCTGAATTAAAGAAAAACAAAACCAAAAGCTTATATCTGAAGTACTGAACAAACCCTTGCAAGCAATTTCTTAGCAGTGGAGCAAATATGTTACCATGGGGACAATATCAAGCAAGATTTTTGCTCTTCGGTTAATCCTCAAATAACATCTTACACCTAGACTATTATTCCTTTATTACATGCTGGCCAACTCCAGCCTGTCCCCAGCCACAAAGTAGGCAAAGGATGGAGATGGATTACTAACTCGTGCGTTCCTGGCTCCCTCTCCTGGGTGAGACAAGAATTACTACGATTACCAACAACTGATCAGTTTAAGTTTTACAGAGAGACTTTGATGGTTATACCAATGTGAGTAGCTTGGAGGAGTAATTACTTATGTACCAACACTATTTAAGTAGCAATCTGCAAAAACTGAGGAACTCAGACACCTATGTAAGAAAGGATACTTAAAGTATCTTTTTCTCAGCAATAATGTTTCATCAAAAAAAAAAAAAGAGTGTGAGGAAGGCAGCCATTGCCTCCTCTTTCACTAA